CTAAGAATGAGAACATGCATGCTTACCCTAGGTCTTTAACTGCATTAAATCATGTAGAGCTGAAGCCTTTACTTAAGAACTGTCACTCCTGACACTTCGCAGTCCTTCCTAAGAGTTTATGCCTAGCCTTTAACTGTCTTAATTGCAAGCAGTGGAGACAGAAGCAAGCTACAGTAGGCATATGCCAGAGCGCATACTGTTTCTCAGTACATGACTTGACACACGTGCGTGTTTATATATAACACACATTTTATATATATATTTATATACATGTATATAAATATATATATGTATATAAGAAATGTGTGTATAGCAAGGCAACCTTTGCTTTGAGTGTATCAGGCCCCTGCTTAGCCAGAATCCCTGGTCATGCAAAGCTCATATGACCAAGATTGACCTGTATAATTTCCATTGGGTGCAGTTTTTATGCTGATATAAGACTGGTTTTGCTTGAAGTTTCTACAGCAGTATAAACAGCAAGAGCAAAGCTCAGATAGTTTGCACATGTCACGTGAACTGAGCTTCTCAAATGTACTTCTGTAGCTTAATTAAAGTTAACCCAGAGTTAGTAAAATGAGATATCATGTAAGCATTAAACGTGTCTTATTTCTGCGTTATTTTCCTGATATTTTGGAATACTCTTTGATATTCCTGACAATGTTTTCAGGGTTTTTAAAAGGAAATTCAAGAGGCTGTCAAGTCTTTCCATTGCTTTAGTAAATGATTAATTTTTTGTTTCCCAGCGCAATGTCTGAAATAATTGTGTCAGTTTTCAGGTCACTACTTTTCAAGCTGTGATACTTGGCTGTCACCCATCACATCAGTCATTCTGTTCACACTTTGGGACGTACACTATAAAAGCGGCCAATAAAATATTACGTCTGGGGTGTAGCATTTACTACTTGTAGCCTACAGAGCAGAAGCGAAACAGACAAGCTTTGATTTCTTCAAGAAGAGTCCACTCTGGGCTTCACTTAGATTTTTCCATGTTTGGGTCCTTTCCATTGAATGTGTGTGGCATGTTCCCATCTCCTCTTGAAGAAAGACATGGACAGGAGTTGGGATAAATGTGAGTGTGCCCATCCTCTAGAGAGGTAGAATTTGCGTGTGTAATATACTAGTTGTATTTTTTTTCCCCAGCTGCTGCAGGTACTGATGAAGAGCTTGTCTAGCAAGTACAAATAAGAGTTGTGAGGCAGTTTTATTTAATCTTAAGTTGAGTTGGGCTGTGGTCCTCTGAATCTACTTGCTTTCTTGCTCCTTGTGAGCTGAGCAAAGCTCGTCGGATGTTTACTGTCTTTGTGTAAGCAGCAAGCAGCCACCACAGAATTGCTATCTTGTTTTGGAAATGCTGGAGTTCTTTGCTGGGCAAGAGCATGGAACTACAAACCTCACACGTGGATTTGCTTCTCAAGGAAACTGAAGAAGAGAATTCTGTGTTTTCAGCAGTTTTTTTTCTCTTCCTAACTCCAGGTGGCTGGTGAGGGGGAACAGGAAGAAATGACAGTGTTACTGAAATTTGTCCTGATACCTGAAAGATTTTCTGGAGGCATTGTGGCTTTAATTTTTTCCCATTCTTTGTAAGTCAGCTTGTTTTCTGAAGGATCTGGATCAAAGTAAGATCTGTTAACTGGAGGGTATTTCAAAAACACAGACCAAATTAGTATGTTTGTTAGCTTTCCTATTCCTTTTAGTTTTATTTCTTTATATTTTTCAGTCAGCTGTTACGGTTAGTAGTAACTTATTTTTTTTGTTTTTTTTTTTAAACAAAATTTGCAATGTGATTTAGGTGTTTGATAACTTGTTAGAAAGGGGTGTGATCCTATGCAGACTTTTGCCTGGAGAAATGATCATGTCTGTATGAGTAGTTCTATCGGTTTATCTCTGTGTACAAACATTTGAAGGACAGAGCCATAACTTTATGTTGCGTGTACATGATGCTGAGCCTTTCAGGGGAATTTCTCTCACAGGAGGAGAACACATTCCCTCAGTGCCCTTTCCCCCTACAAGGAATCTGTCACTGTATAATTAAATGAGAAAGTAAATAAGGTTATTATTTCTGAGCATGGACACAGTGCACACAGTAACAAATCAGAGTCAAAAAATAGCTGATGAGAGGATTTGTAGTGATCCTTGATGCAAAGTTTTAAGTACAGTACAACCAGATACCAGCTCTAAATTGGCTGGCACTGTAATTAAAAGTATAAATGTTTCAAGCTGAATACATCCTATTAGTAAGATTTTAGGAAACAAAAACTTAATTTATTCACATTCGATATGGTCTGTAAATGCCACCATTATATGCCTTCCTCTGGCCTTTGATTAGCTATGGATTAATAAAACTTTTATACCTTCTTTGTCAGCCTCATTTTGAACTCTGTTTTTGCATACTGTTACTATTAAATAAATGAATTAGTGTCCAGAAATGTGTCATGCATATTACCTAGCAGCAGGAAGCATAATACAGTGGTCAGCTCCCCGGGAGCATTATAAATCCTAACACGCTCAGTAACCTGCTCATGTGGACCTATTAAAAGCTTGATGATTTAGTGAAGCAGTATTTGTGCTTAACAATGGAATTTTAGTTAATTCAAAACAAAGTAAATCATTTCCAATTACAGTATTTGAATATTCACAGTAGCTATACAAGGATGTGTAATGTTCCAGGGGAAAAAAAGAAAAGAAAAAAGAAAAGGCATTATAAAGGTTGACTGGAGTTTAGCGAGTGGTTGTGGTATCTCAGCATTACATGAATACCAGTGTTTGTAAAGCATGTTTGTTTGATATAGCTACTTCACTGGAGAGATGGAGGAGCTAGAGCCCAGAATGGGGAAAACTATTTCCAGAGACCATAGAGACTTTTGTGATGAGGAAGGCTCCTGGAGGTTAGGCAGTAGCAATAGCAAGACACCCAGACGAGGGATGATTAGGGGGGTACTGTGATGTCTATGAATAGGGGAGAGGTGACCATTGGTGATTTGTGATTAGTTCAGTGGTGTTTTTTGCCTCTGGGCTGACAGTGGGGCTTGCAGCGGGGCTGGAGCTGTAGCTGTTGGTGGCAGCAAGAGAACCAGCAGAGTTATCCTGAGACTCTTGCAGGAAGATGAGGCGTAGCACTTTGGTGCTTATATGCAACCATGGACCCACTGGAGCATGTCCAGAAAAGGGGAATGAAAATGGTGAACGACCTGGAGCACAACACCAAAGAGGAATGGTTGAGGGAACTGGGGTTGTTTAGTTTGGAGAAAGCTCAGGGCAGACATCGTTGCTCTTTACAACCACCTGAAAGGAGGATGGAGCCAGGATGTGGCTCGTCTATTCTCCCAAGCAACAACTGATAGGACAAGACGGAATGGCCTCAAGTTGCACGAGAGAAGGTTTAGGCTGGATATTAGGAGCAAATTCTTCCCCAAAAGGGTGCTCAGGCATCGGAACAGGCTTCCCAGGGCAGTGGTGGAGTCGCCGTCCCTGGAAGTGTTCAAAAACCATGTGGGTGAGGCACTTAGTGACACAATTTAGTGGTGGACTTGGCAGTGCTGGGGGAATGGTTGGACTTGATGGCCTTAAAGGTCTTTTCCAGGCTGGTAGATTTTATGTTTCTATTCTGTCTGTCTGCACGTCCATTCGGTTGACACATGCAGCCTCATTCAAAGTCACGCTACTTAGGCTTTGAGATACTTAAGTGCTTTTGGAAACAGAACTTGGGCTTCTGAGTTCTATAGAGTGGTTTGAAGAGAACATGACAAACAGGCTGTCATGAAGCTGTGAAACCCAGTGCGTCTGCCACTGCGGTGCAGTGAAAACAGGGCGAGGCTGACACTTGTAAAAGTATGACAATTGTTTCAGTTTCTACAGTGCTGTTTTTCAAATGCTGTTGAATCCCAGTATACAGACTGTCATGGAGTCTATTACAGCTTTTCTTATGGATTAATCCCTTAATTCTGGGTCCAGATCTTGAGCAATGCTGCATGCATTTTAGCTTCTTTTAATCGTTTGGCCGCATTAAATCGTTAGATTTTAGTATTTCTGGAAGGGGAAAAGGGAATTCACTAAAGGAAAATAAATTCTGGGGCCTATGAAAACATAATTTCTTAAAGTTGGTGGAATATTGCGAAGTAAACAAACATCATATGATCACAAAACTGCATGAAGAGGTCTGATTAATTATACCTCTGTTCAGCCGAGGTGTGTGGTGTGGTGCAGACTCAAGCTGGAGGAGCAGGCAAAGTGCTGACCTCCAGCTGGCTTCTGGATCTTAATTTGCTCTCATTACTTCTTAGGAATTTATTCTGACAATGGTTTCCTTTGTGAATGACGTTTTCTGTCTTCAGATACAGTTGTACAAACCTGTTGCTGTTAACTGGGACTACATTATTCCACAAGTGTCTGTCTGACTTGGAATTTTCAGGCCTTGATTCCATTAATAATCTTTAAAATATCAGTATTTGCACCTTGTGGCTTATTGGTCTCAGCATAATGATTTCCATTATAAAATGATGACAGCTATGTGATACTAGGTAGTTATTAAAACATCCCGAGGGGAGAGGCTCAGGAATAGATTAATCCTTAAAACCACGGTGTTCTTGCTCAGGTCTGTAATACAAAGGATAGTACTTTGGCTTCCTCAGAAGCCTTTCTTTATTCATCTTCGCTGTGTGTTACCACATAGCCATGTACTGCATGGCAAATTAACGCTCGTAGAGCCACAGAAATAGAGCAGTGAAGAATGCCGTATGATACAGGAGGAATAAAACAAGACAATGAGCTATGAGTGTAGGGATGTTATAGGTCATAGAAAGTGAGGTGATGTTGGCTTGTTTTGAAACCTGTTTAAATGAGAAGGAACAGTTCTATGCAGGTTCCTGTTGAGTCCTAGGTATCTCACAGATAAGGACGAGCACCTGATGCTCAGGTTACTCAAGGGGATACAGATGCAGAGGGCTGCTGATTGTATTTGCAAGTAGTTGTCAGGATTTGTAAAAGCTGCTGTGGAGGTGTGACCTCAAAGGCATTCAGAACAGTAAGCTGGTCTCACTTAGCATTCGAAAGAACTCAAGGAACCTTACTGGTAAGTCTCTCTCTCTTTGCTGTTTCTCTTCTGTTTAGTGATGGTGATATGGGGAGAGAAAGGAGATTGTATTAATGTATAAATGTCTTAGTAGCAGTCTCAGCTGGTGGGAGACTACATTGCTCTGTGTGGCAGGTGTGGATCTGTGGGCACTCTGCAGTCAGTGTGTTGTGTTAACAGGAGTTTGCTTGTCTCCCTAGCGAAAGCATCGATCTGGCATACAGAAAGTGTGTGGTCTAGGAATAAAACATACTTGGCTCATGAAGGAAGCAGCTAGAAGGAAATGTTTGTGTTAATACAGTCCTCATTTCCAAGGAGAGACTTTCTTTGTGGGAACTTTAAGGTCTTGAGCAGAAGCAGAGGGTGAGTAACTTCATTTTGGTATTAGTGTGATTGTAACTAGGGAGTGTATTTGAGAGAGAGCCTGGGCCTGTGGCTGTATTAAGTTTTTTTTTGTGGTTATTAAGTACTTATATGTGATGGTGTTGTGCCTGAAGTCAGATTTTGCTGGTACTGCCCAAAATCTGAGCTTTTATTCCTTTATGTGCGTGGTGTGTAATGCTGCGTATTTTCTATAACATGTTCTTGTTCCCTCTGATGACAAGCTACAGACCATATGGAAATGGAGAAAGAGGGTAGCTAATAGCTGAAGGGGGGGGGGAATCTTTGTTGTGATGTGAACAATAATTACTTACTTAGTTAGGCTCTTTTACCTGTTTAAGTGTTGTATTTATGGACCAATCTCAAGCAGTTCTCAGAGCATTTGCGATTAGGGCTGTGTAATGTAACTTAATGTGATAGTTAAAAGTCAAATAAGCTTTGAAGCTTTTGTTGAGGCTTGTTTGTTCCTTCAAAATAGGAAATGATCTGTGAGCTGCTGAAGAACATGTAGCCTGCTTTGCAGGAATACATACAACCCTTTTTCATTTTAATGAAACTTTACTAATGTATAGTCTAAAGAAATAGGTTAACCCTAGCCAAACACATTAAATCAAACATAGCAAGTATGGTCATTATCCATTCAGTGTTGTTTCAGAGTTACTCTCTATTGCCTAAGAAATCTTACAAATTGGAAAATCCATCATTCTCTTGCAAAACATGAACTTGAGTTGTGCGCATAAATAAGAATGCAGAATTTCAGTATCTTGGTCTCTTGTTCCTGTGAGAGCAAAGCCAACAGGGCTTGCTATGAAAGTAAAATAATTGCAGGTTAGCTAACATGTGATCAGGATATGTAGGATGTTGGGGCCACAGTTTAATGCTAGAGTAAATATTCTTTTCGGGTTTCTTATCAGTAAAGCAAAAATTTTGCTTCTGTGTAATACTTGTTGGTAATCTGACATTAAGCTCATTCTACTGGTCTGAAATTGTTCAGAGTATTGATGATACAACTCTGTACTAGCAGTGTTTATTCTGGAACAGATATCATCCATCCACACCATTTCAGGCTTATGCGGGATCTGCCCGTAAACAGCACAGAAGTAAGAGCCTGAATCCAGTCTAAACATCTTCTCAGATACTGTGCCACCTTTGTCAGAAATGTGGACATGGAGATCCTCACAACATGCCAGGGCAGAGATCCAGCCTGTGTGTGATTGTGGAGCTGGGATTCTGAAATTAAATACAGATTCCCAGCCTCTAAACTTTCAGGAGTATTACTCTTATATGCGTGTAAAACTAAAACCTTTTTAAGAGTCTTAAAGGCCCCTGCTCTTTAATGCCAAGTCACCTGAGCAGTCTGAAGTTCTTGTCCAGCTCATGCATCAAACAGATCTTTCCATATCTGAACAATCTGGGGACCCCTTTCAGTTCTCAGAAGAATGAGACATGCTGTAGGCTCTGCACAAAGTTTTCCCAGTGTTAATAACCATGACGAGTCTATTTCAAGGCAACAGAAGGCAAGTGTGAATTGCGGTGTATTTGTAAAGTGGTATGTTGCTTACATACAGCAACAGAGCTAATAAGCTTCAGTTATGCTTTGCAGTTGGTTAAGTTTAATGATCTGCATTTTGAAGCCCACATACTTTTTTAATCTCCAACTTGTGTTTAAGAAAACAGAAGCTGCCCATTGCATGGGTGCACACACCAAGCACTCTCCAAACAGATTTTTTTTAAACCTGTTTTTCTGTGGCTATATATAATTTTTTTCTTCATAGTACCTTATGTCTATCTGTGTATGTCTTTGTGTGTATAGATGAGCAATTTGTTCCCAGTAGCGTAAGAAACATCTGTTAAGAAGGACATATTTCACTGACAGTGGCAGCATGCCAGGAATATACCCAACTATTGCTCTCAAGAAGACACGTTTGTGCCTCAGCTCAGACACAGCATGTAGTGAAGGAAAATCTAGCTACAGTTTAATGCATATTTACAAGATATTCTACTCTCTCCAGTGTGGAGTAATGAGTACCCAACGTGCAGTTTGTATCATTGTTAAAAGAGCACTAGTGGAAACACCAAATGAAATGAACATGTTAAAATATTGTAATCTATTCCCCAGGGTGCTGTTCTTCAAGGCCTTGGTGATTAGAGTTTTTATTTCCATCCAGCAACTGTTATTTATTCACACAAAAGTCCTGCAGAGAGACTGAGAGACTTCAACAGACTGTGATAGCTCCGGAGATGGAGCGGGGTGGGGTTGTATCTTATATGGAGAGGCCTATCCCTGAAGTTGCATGGAGCATTGGGGAACTTCAGGTTTTGTACCGTGGCTGGGCTTTTGATCATGTGAATAAATAGGTCTTCTGCAGAGTGGTTGACTTAATTCAGTCATTTTGATTGATAATTAGAACTGACAAAGAACAGATCAATGCAAATCACAAGGGCAGGAACATCTGGGACTCAGTTTAATGTGAATACCCCAAATCCTCCTGACTAGTAACCACATGTACAAAACAGAATTCACAGTTGTTTTTGCAAATGCACAAATTAATACATCATAAGATGTGAAAAATCAGGTTTGAAAAAGATAGTAAAGAACTGGTGCAGATATTGCAGTTCCTTCTTAGTTTAGCTCTTGTAAGCTTTCACTCTCTTCCCATGATAGACATGGGCTGAACAACGGTGAAACACAGGGACGTTGCTGGGTGCAGACTTCTGCCCTGCAGGTTTCTTGGCTGCCTCCTGCTCCTGTCCAGACTTGTATGAAGGTCTTTCTAATGCTTGAAAGGCTCAGAAGAGTTGTTCTTGGCTTCTTTTGGTTTGTATTTTTTTTTCCAAGTGGCTAGTCAAAGAAACAAAAAACCTGCCTTGTGAAATACCTCGGACTGAATATTTGATAGGAAGTTGCAAATATCTTGTGGGAGAGAAATTTAGATTGGAATGAATCCTGATTTCCCTTCAGACAATGAAGGGAAAGTTGAAGTGTTTGAGCAGGGTGGTTACATTACTTCAATTTGAAATAATTTTGGAAGTTTCAGCTGGAAAAAGGGGGTGAGGGAAAATGTAATGGGAGGTAGACATACTTTTATATTCAGGAGATAGAGGTGGGAGGCAGTAAAATCTGGTACAAAAGAAAAATCTTTAAATTAGAATAGAATAAAAATTTCATTTAAAAGATTTTGAGATATAAATAATTTTTAAGGAAAAAAGAATTTGAGGTAACTTGTTGGTGTTTTGTTGCTAGAATGTTATTTTTCAGTAGAAGGGGTTTTCCGCCTTTTCTGTGATGGATTGATGTGAGCTCTGTGTGACTTGGAGCAAACACCATTTACCTTTATGGTTTGAAGTAAGATTGAGAAAATCCAAATGACTTGATCATGATGACAGAGGCAGCCCAGCAGAGCTGAGAACAGATTCCGTACCTGCAGCCTAGACTTGTGCTTTTCCTAGCTTGCATTCCTTGGAAAGAAATTGTTCCTGTGGTCTTGGCCATTTCTCTATCTTGTTGTTAATCTCTTGCTGTCTTTCTCATTGATACAATAAGTCCAGTCACTTCCTTTCTCTGAATGCTATTCGGTGGAAGACTGGTTTCTGTTTGCCACTTTTTCTGACCTTCTGGGTACCTGCTTGCCTGCCTCCTATAAAGATACTTGCCTTGTTCTGAACACATGCTCTGCATCTTCTGGGATAACTTTAAATTTTAATGTGTACATGGTGTGTTTGGGTATCAGTCATGAACATAGCATTCTTCAGGGAAGCAAATGTACTTTTTTGCTGATGAGTATCAGTAACTGATGGTGCTGTGCCAGAATAACAGATTCTGATCTTATTTCCAGTTTTGCTCAGCTTGTAATTTCAGGACATTATCCCCTCTTCCTTGTGTTACTGCCCAGGTTACAGCCTAGCTTGCTGCTTTTCTTCCCATGCCTTCTAAAGCATTCTAAAATAATGTTTGTTTAGGAGTAACCAGAGTTCTCCTTAATACATTTTTTCCCTTTGGTCTAGCTCATTAATAAATGCCTTTTAGCACCTTTTGGAACTAACAGCAAAATGAAAAAGGAACAATTGTACTCTTAACCTAGGAAAAGCAAACCCATTGCTGTAGTGGCAGTTGTCAGTGCTGTAAAAATCATCAGACAAGATTAAAACTTTGAGAGGCAATGTCCTTTGTGCTGTCACTAATATAAAATAGCATTATCTATTGAAAGTGTAAATTTGTGTCTTACAGACTTAAAACCGCTGGATACTGCAACAAAATCATGCGTGTGTTGGTTTTTATTATTAACTCTAGCTTTGAATTAGAATTCCCTGTATTACAGCTTGGAGCTAAACTCTGTTTACAAAACAGTATTTACACTTGACTAATTTTGCAGATCAAACTAATTAAATCAATTAAACTGGTGATTAACCAAATGAAGGCTGATTGCAAAAATTAGTGGGTTTATTTTGGAGGACTGGAAGTAAGCTAATTACTGCAGTGATTACTTGAACCTGGAGTACTCTAAATGTGGTATAAATTGAAACCTCATAGTGAATTAGACTGGGAATTCATTACAGTTTAAAACACTGTTAGTACTATTCAGGCTGCTACTCCTGTGGGAAAATTTCACTCTATTTTGTATACTGATAAACAATCACTTAGTCTGTGTCCTTTTAAATAACACCAAGCAATTTCACACAGGATTTTTTCTTGTAGCTGAGTCACAATTCTGTTTTATGAAGATGTAGTTACTAACGCTGTCAATCAGGTTCCTGCACATTGCATGGTGGGAAATGTAGTCCAGCAAATTCTATCTCCATCATAATGAAACGGTGCTAATTTCATGTGGTTGCTCCAGCATTTTCTGGGTTTGATGTCCTAATCTGTGTTTGCCATCTCTGATTGCTAGCTTGGTGCAGAGAAGAAATGGGGATTTGTTTCACTTGCCTGCACATCACTTAACTGTTGGCAGAGCACAAACTGGTTGGTGCTAATTCTAATTTGTTGCATTTTGTACTCACACCTGGAAATGCAGTGCCATAGAAGGATTTTTAGAGAAGGAAACATCTGCTAGATTACTCACTCATTTTGTTTGCTAGTGCAGGCTATTCCCTGTAGTATACTTCCTCGGGTATTTTGTTCCTCCTTGCATCACCAGTTAACAACGGAATATAAATGTCTACTAAAAATGACCTGTATTATTCTAGAGTTCCTTCAAGCACATCTTGCAAAGGGTTAATGAAATTGCATAGAATTAAAATACAAAAAACCCTCAAAGAGGTGGAATATTATGTAGTTTGTGAGTATTTTTTATTATAGATATGAATATTGTAAACACGTTGCTTGGAACCTCGTTTTGTGAGATCTTCAGTTACCTACCTCGTTCAGTGAGGGGTTGGGTTTCAGTCCTCATTTCTCCAAGGAATGCAGCCACTTGAAGTTCACATTGCAGAGCAGGCTTTCATTCTATGCATTTCTTCTGGTTTGGGTTATTTTCTTGCACATGTGAGTACAGCTTCCACTTGCTTAAAACCAAATTTCAATAGACCAAACTGCAGAACTTTGTTACATCACTTGCCTGCCAACAAAGGGTGTACCACTATGAGCGATGACACGAGGGAGGTCTCTTGCAGCACTCCCTTCTGAAACAGTTTAGTGGTGGTAAGGACACAGCTACATAAAAAACCATTAATGCAGAATAATTCTCTCTGTTTGCTATTTGGGAGTTGCCCTTTTTATTTTACCTTTTAGGGGATACTTTATCGGGAGAAAGTCCAAACATACAAAAAAATAATCTAAAGGTGTTAGAACAGGTGGAAAGCACCAGTGAATGTGCATTTTGCTGGGCAAAATAGGATCAGATCAGCTGGGGAAAATAATCTGAAATACAATTTGCTCATGGGAAGGGCTGAGAAAAAGGTGGTGGTTGGGCATAGGTGGGTGGTGGGACAGCAAGTTTGGTAGGCCAATGCAGAAGCTCATCATGAGCTAGTGGATCATAACAGGAAGAAGGATTTCACTTGCTTTTTGGCTAGGATCTGGTGAGTCACAACAGGCAGATGTTGCTGTCTGTGCACAGAGGGCACCAGAGCTCTCTTCTTCTGTGTGATGGCAGGATCTGCCTCTATGTGGAGTATAGTGCTTTGCACTTCATTAGCAGAAGACAGTGTAAAATGAGAAGCATTGAGATGAAACTCAAAGATGGCTGCAGGAAGGGAACTGTGACCTACAATGAAAGGGATGAGGTGTGTGAACTTTGACAGGAGCACTATGTCCTAGGAAGGCTCAAGCTGAGATCTGTTCACAAATACTTAGCAGCTATTAGCACTGAGAAAGAGTGCTTGCTCAGTGTGTACTTCAGCAGAGTGCAGTAGCAGAGCACATCAAACCAAAGGAAAGGGAATGTCCAGCAAGGCTTTCTTACCCAAGAGCCTCTTGGGCAGTGAGGGGACCGGCGGACAGGTAGGGGCTGTACATACTGGTGAGCAAAAGCACTGAAAGAACATAGGATATGGGGTTTTCACAATGACATACCAGTTTAGGGTTTTTAACTGAGAGTGCCTGAGAAAACATGCAGGAGCACCAAGGTGCTTCATGTCACTATATATAGATAGCTGAAAGAGAAAATGACATTCTGTTGTAGTGAACAGGCTTCTTGAGCAGGTTTCTGTTCCCATAGGATTCACATTCTCTGGAAATGTAAGCAGATATTCAGATCTTCATGTGAAAGGCACATGTAAAGGATAAGATGTCTGATTTTTTTATCTTTTTATTCTTTTTTAGAAAGTATCTCATCTTCCCTGTCACTGCCAGGTAGAAACTTTCCCTCTTGGAAAGAGGGAGTTGTGGTTGGTTGTAATAGAATGAAAAATAAATGTAGAAATGGGGATTATTGGCTGAATGCTTTCAGGGAAGAAGCTGTGCACATGAAGTACAAGGAAATGCCAGTCTTGCTTGAACACTGTACCAAATAAAGCATTTTCTTACACTCGGAGCTCATTTAAAATGCCTTCTAAAGCTGATTCAAGCAGAGCAAACTAGATGGTAGTTTATTCTTATAAAATAACTCAGTACAACTTGTCACGGTTTGAATACATCCAAGTGACTCTCAAATTCTTTCTGATGCAGTTTTGGGGACGCTAAGTTCTGTGGTATAGGTCTGCAGCAAGTTTACCAGACTGGAGTAGATTTGACTGTAGTAAGTTTGCTCCACAGTGTCCATTTTCAGCTATGCTCTGTTACTTAATACTATAGCAGAAACAGAGTATCATCCTGGCAATTTCAAATGGTTATTAGTAATTTATATCGTGTTACCACCCAGAGTGCTCATCCAGACTGTCTATATGTAGGATTTCCACAAGAGCTTAGAAGACAAGTACCTGAAAAGTCA